GACGAAATCGGTCGTGAGAGAGACGGTGGGTACGAAAAGGCGCTCATGCACAACCGTGACCAGATGGACCGCGCAGATCAGATCGTCACGGCAGTAAATGACTTGTTGAGACAAGCCGATGATTTCGAGCTTTTGGAGCTCAAGCCGAAGGTGATGCACAACTTGGATTTCCAGAAGGAGCTCAAGTGTGGACCGCCAAAGCTGGATATGTCGTTCATCGGGGTTAAATGTCAGGATGTTGTCAGTGATACGGATTTTGGGGAAATATTGCTCAACGAGAAGTGGCAGTTGAAGGACGAGTTCGGCAAGGAAGGCACTGATGATGGGGAATTCCAGTTTGCAAGGGGCGTTGCATGTTTCAGCAACGGGGACATCGTAGTATCTGACACAGACTTGAAACGGGTATCGTTGTTCACCTCCAGTGGGCAGTTCAAAACATCGATTGCTCAAGGAGCTGAATGTCATGAATTGGAAGAGCCTTGGTGCGTGGCAGTGAACTGTGATGGTCTGCTTTTCGTCACGGACGAAGATAAAGTGAAGGTTTTTGACTCTGAGCTACAGTTTGTTCGCGAGTTTATACCTTCGGTTGACGACGCAGAGGAGCCATCAGATAGGGACCTTACTGATATTGCCGTGGACAAGCAACGAGTAGCAGTGGCTGACTGTGGGAGAAATGTCATCAGCGTCCACAACCTGGACGGATCGTTGATTGCAAGCACATCAAACAACATGGTTGAATATATCATAGCAATGAGCAACAAAGAGCGGCTGATCTTCACAAACTACGAGGAGAAGAGGTTGATGTGCGTTGACTTTAAGGGCAATGAGGTGTTCAACGTGATGACCTTACTGGATGGAGAAACAGCGAAACCGACTGGTGTCCTGTGCGATGACGATGGGAGCATCTATGTCGCTGTTCACCCTGGTAACGTTGGAGCCTGTGAAGTGCATCATTACGACTCGAATGGTGCATTCATATCAACAGTCGCTCAAGGGTTGACCACCAATCCGTTAGGAATGGCATTTACCCCCGCTGGTGACGTCGTTGTCGCAGACATGCACTCCGTTAAAATCTTGGAGCGGATGTAATCTGCTTCACTAAAAAAAACAATTTATCCCTCTGGTAGCCAAATACGTTGCCTAAATCCACAAAACATCTTCTCCAAGATGTCTGAACAACTCGTGCAGACCAAAGCACATTATTTCCCAGAATCTATTGGTTTTTTTTTTTCAAATCGAAAATAAAGATGAAAACCTTCATTTATAAAGGAAAACGCATTGGATGGTTTCCCTTTCACTACTCGAGACACTTTACTGATTAAAGTACCTATATTTTGTAAATGGATGTTCGCTTTACGTTAGTTTTTTAAGTTCGTATGCATGTATATATTTTCCACATAACATTGCATAAGTAATTGCCTACGTCCGCTTTATTTGGAGTGTGCTCGTGTAGTTTTGAGTTAGCAGTTCTGATCATGACATTCTATGGAGAGATCTTGGTTGAACCAGAATCCATAATTAGCTCGGTATATTTTGCGTGTATATTTTTTTCACAATGAAGAGCGGAAGAAACGTTTAAAAGTTTCACGACAGTGACCCATTGAGGTTTCCTTTTCGTGTATATAAAGTTAATTCATTTTGTCAATAATTAATGCATTGGCAATTAAAAAAGCTGTATATAGTAATCGTCCAAATGTAAATAATGAATGCAAACAGGCTGATCATCAATTTCAGATTATTAAAATGAAACTGATTTTATCTGTATCACAATATCATGTCAAATCACAAGAGATGAGAGATGCTCTCGCACGTTTTCCTCAATTTCAAGAGACAATTCTACCGTGGAGAGAAATAACATGAAATGCCCAATTGTTTTCAAATCCAACCACTGCTTCAAATGTCAGCTCTTTATTAATTCCCGTATTACATTAGTTTCGTTTTGTTTCCTTACAGACCACAGCAGGTTTGAAAAGAATAAAATAAGAATGAAATATTATGTTCCTTTATCTTCAATGTGCAACCATATACATGAGAAATGGTCTATATTTAGAAAGAGAGTGATTGATTTACACTTGCCGTGCTTCGTTATAGCAGAGGCATAGTTTTTTTTTACGGCAGATGGGAGCTGGATGAATTATACTTTTTTTCAAATCATTTTGGAGTTTCAGTCAAATCCATCACAAGTCAATCTGAGGTCAAATCACAAGCCATGCAAAAAGTCCCCCCCCCCGAAAAGGGGGAAAAAAGGAGGGGGAAAATGAAATAGGAAAAGAAAAAGAGGCGCGAAGTATTATTGCTGTTAATGTAATGGGTTGAGGGGGGCAAATGTCCCTGCCCACCCTCGAAAAATGATAAATTGAGAATATGCTGGAAAAATACAGGGATATTTTGGGGAAAATGTGCTTCGCCCCCCCCCCCCCGGAAAAAATTATTTCTGGCAACGCCCATGTTTTTAATCCTTTTTTCCCCTTTTACATGCACTCTGCACACGAAGCCATTGAGAGAAAGTGATGAGAACCCTACTACATCGATTTAAAAACAGTTGTTTTCACTATTATTAACAAATGAAATTGATTTTTATTTTGTGGTGGTGGTGGAGGGGGGGGGGATTGAAAAGAGGCAAGCCCCAAGTAGCCTAATTGGTCAAAAGTGGGGTCGGGAAGAATCCCTCCCTTGTCTAAGGTTGGAGGGGGATCCGCCCCATCGACCAACCCCCTTCCGCCGCCCCTGGGAACTGCACAAAGTAATTTCCCACTGCGTACCAATTACTTCTTCAATTTTATTTCCGGATGTGCATGTGATATCGCATGGGTGTCGCCAGGATTTTTTCTAGAGGGGGGCAAAAAAAATTTTGCCCAAAAATGCTTGTATTTCTCAACACATTCTCGATTTATCAGTTTTAGAGGGGGGCAGGGGCATTTTGCCCCCCCCCCCAACTCATTAAATTTACACCACTTTGTCTTCGCGCCTCTTTTTTTTTTTTTTGGTGCTTTTCCAGGGGGGGGGGGGGGGGCAAGTGCCCCCCTTGCCCCCCCTCGCGACGCCCATGGATATCAGGCAAACTAATTTAAACCTGTCGACAGAGGTACTGTACAGTAAGTTTATTGGCCCTCGACGCATTGGAATATATATATCTTACTATAATTCCAGGAATCTCTGTCTGTCTGTCTGTCCGTCGATTATCTCCAGAACCGGGCACCGTATGAAGTTGAAAATCGGCGGGTATATTTTTCGGGACAACAGAATGTGCAGTGCAAAGTTTGAAGTTGTTTGGACCAGCGGTTCTCGAAAAAGCTGAAAAAAGCAGTATTTTCTGAGGCAAACGTGGCAGTATATAGCTTAGAACATAACACCCGCACGCACTGCCGTTCTTTTCAATTGTTTACGTCATGTTTAAGCTAAAGCGCGCGTGCTCAATATGACGCAAACAATACAAAAAGGACGGGCACGCGCACGTGCATTGCAGGGCGATACATTGTCCAGTATGGGTGAATACTAATGGATCAATGGGTGAATAGCACTGCATGCCATGTTTTCGTATGTGCACGGGCACATTATTTTTGCAGTCGACTGAGCGACCATTGTAGGTGGTCGAACTTCAAACTTGGCAAAAATTTGACGTAAGTGTGCGTTCAACCTGTGAAAACAACACCATTGAATCGCGTGCGTTGTTTGCACGAGCAGTTCTCCAAAACTCTGCAATTATGCAACCTATACCAGCGGCAAAGCAATTTGCGTTTCCCGAACATGCACATTTCAGACGGGCACTGCACTAGTTTAAAGAATGTTAAAACAATAATGGAATTAGTTAAAAATATGAAATCCAATCATGTGATAAACATTTCCCGGTAAATAAAAAAATCATCAAAATATCATTTGACCTACCTAGTCTCAATGAAATATGGGTGTACTTCATGATATAAACGCTACTACGTCCCATATAACCTGATTAAAATACTCTAATCCAAACAACGCCTCCATTACAAACGCATGCTGCGAAGATTTCACAGGACAACATTCTTTTCCTGTGTGCATTATTGTCCGTTTTGAGCTTCCGTATAATGTCACACAGAGAGCGGCTGCTCGTTTCAACTTTGAACTTCAATCAGGTGCATTCATTTTGCGTTGGTTCACGGGAAGTGTACCAGTACCGAGCGATTAAAATAGCAACTGGTTTTTCCCGTGATGAGTTACTGGAACTGTGGTATGGAATGATGCAGCAGTAGTTGAGGGCCAACTTGAGCCAAAGACCGTCAGGGAAGATAGGCACTCCGCTCGGAAAAAAAGTTTTGAAGCATTTTTTTTGCACTGGTGTCTATGGGAATTTTAATTCAGGGCCGGGGGACCGGGTACGCGCACGCGGCGTGAGAATAATGTGAACCGCCACCAAGTGTTTGAATGGGGACAACATTAACATGTAGCCGCGCCGCCGCGGCCAGGGTGACTGTTTTAGCCGATTTCCGGCTAACTTTGACAGAACATTTGTAAAAAAACGAGTTTGACAGAAAATTTGACAGAATGGAATTTTTTTTGGCAGATTTCTGGCAGATTTCTGCAAAAATGGTTATTTGACAGAAAAACAGCAAATTTGAACAAAAAAGTGTACATTTGTTTTAAAAAAGCTTCAATCCTTTCAAACAAACCCTTGCATAATGGGGCAGGTTGGCTGGTCTAGGTGCTGAGGTTAACTGGGAAACGGACTTCGTCGTGGCCGGATCCGCGTTTTGCCTGAAATTTACCAATATCATAACACCTTTATGTGACTATAGATTGTTTATGATGTAATTTGAACCTTAATTAAAGCAATACTACCAATCTGCATGTGAGTTTAAGTGTTTATTGTGTATTTCGAATAATTCTGGGGAATTTGGCAGATTTTTGATAAATCCGACAGATTTTTGATGTGCATTTAGCAGAATTTGGCTCTGACCTTACGGTCACCCCGGCCGCGGCTGCTGCTAGCTGATAGCTAGAAAATGCATGCTAGGTGTCAGCTGCAGCTAGCTGGCCGTAGTCATGATAGTGCAAAGATCGCTCGACAGCAATAATTTCGAGGTACGTAGCCGATGATCAAGTGGAAATAGTCTAGATTTTAAATGAAGGGAACAACAGTTTTCAGGAAATTCAGTACGCATCGCTGCGTCATGCGTGGCTCATCACATCATGCTGATCATCAGACTCGGTACAGTCCGAGTGGACCACTTCTAGTAATATCGCCTTTTTAACATTCGGACATGGTCTACCATGTTTATAAATTATAGCTCCATGCATGGTCTGGCGTAGCCCGACTGCGTCTGGCCGTACAGTACTATCGCAAGCTCTGTAGTACGGAGCTTGCGATAGTACTGTACGGCCAGACGCAGTCGGGCTAGGTCTGGCGATACTATCGCCAGACCTAGCCCCACTAGTGTGGCCGTCGGTATGCTGCGCTGAGCCCCACTAGTGTGGCCGTCGGTATGCTGCGCTGAACCTCTGGCCACACACCGTGGTACCGCGCGCTACTGAGGACGAAGTTTCATAAAATCTGCGGTCCGTTTCTTACATTCTCAGTTTCTTTCTTTCTTATGGTTGTATTCTATGATGTCTCACCTATCACTTCTGGGATGCTTAGGTCTAATGATGTTCCATTTTCCGAGATATTCTTCAATCTTTCTGGAGCCCATATGCACTCGTGAAACGTCTGGTGATGGCAGCCATTTTGAATGGGACAAGAGATGACCTCAAGCTGTGACGTCGCGTTTATGCAAATTGCTTGTCGAGCGCGCGAGGGCACGAGTTGCAAATGCGACGGCTGTTTCCTGTACCATGCATTTATCGTCAGGGGGCCACGTGCACCGATCTCTATTCAGGATCTACGGGCACAGGAAACAACCGTCGCATTTGCAACTCGCGCCCTCGCGCGCTCGACAAGCAATTTGCATAAACGCGACGTCACAGCTTGAGGTCATCTCTTGTCCCATTCAAAATGGCTGCCATCACCAGACGTTTCACGAGTGCATATGGGCTCCAGAAAGATTGAAGAATATCTCGGAAAATGGAACATCATTAGACCTAAGCATCCCAGAAGTGATAGGTGAGACATCATAGAATACAACCATAAGAAAGAAAGAAACTGAGAATGTAAGAAACGGACCGCAGATTTTATGAAACTTCGTCCTCAGTAGCGCGCGGTACCACGGTGTGTGGCCAGAGGTTCAGCGCAGCATACCGACGGCCACACTAGTGGGGCTACGCCAGACCATGTCCGAACGTTAAAAAGGCGATAAGTTGGGTCCAAGTTACTCGGACTAGCTCATCATAGACATAGACTATGGAGGTTCAAAAGTGGACATCTGCTTTTCTGCTAACAAGATAACAAAAAAATTAGATTGAACGTTTTGTTGAAATGCGTTTTTCTTCTTTTCTGCTTTTCTGGTAGAAGAAAAGCACATTGAATGCTTTGCTAAAATGCATGTTTCTACTTTTCTGCTATTACTTTTTTAGATGGAGTAACCCAGCCCTAAATTTTATTATTGGGTTGTCATTTAAAGAGGTTGTGGAATGCTCGAAGACGTTTCCGTCATTTTTCGGGTATATGTAGCCTAAGGTGTGATGAAATAAAAACGACTATTGTTTCTGTCATAAAATGAGTACAAAAGGTACTTTTGAGAGCTGTTTTTCAAGTCCTGTCATGCCTGTTTTGACCCGAACGTGCAATTTGTGTAAAAGTCGTCGTTGAGGGCAGCAAACAAAACAGTAAATCGTGACGTAATAAACAGGACTCCCGATGCAGAGTAGCATAAAGGAGTCCTGTTTATTACGTCACGATTTACTGTGTTTTGTTTGCTGCCCGCAACGACGACTTTTACACAAATTGCACGTTTGGGTCGAAACAGGACCTGAAAAATAGCTCCCAAATGTACCCTTTGTACTCATTTCATGACAGAAACAATAGTCGTTTTTATTTCATCACACCTTAGGCAAAAAAAAAAAAGTCTCCGGTTTCTGGTATGGAGCTTGCCCCAAAAGTGGTGCGGCGACGCGGCTTTTTTTTTTTTTTACCTGTTTTTTTTTGGGGGGGGGGCTTCAAATGTCGGCTGATGACTGCAAATGGTGCCCGACTAAACTTAGTGCAAATATATGGGAGTCCAGAGAGGCCACATAAAGCTTATTCTCGATCATAACCCCATCTAAAAACACGTTAAAATTGTGCAGCAGCAGAATTCCAGCCAAACCAGTGAGTTTGGCGGTTTTGAGACTTTTTCATTTTGCCGACGCGCATGGCTGCGGCGACGCGCGCGCATACCAGAAACCGGAGACTTTTTTTTTTTGGCCTTAGGCTACATGTACCCAAAAAATGACGGAAATGTCTTCGAGCATTCCACAACCTCTTTAAAGGGAATGTAGGCCTACATCATTGGCTTTTGTACTCCTAGAACTATGAGGCTCCACGTAGTGGAGCCTCATAGATTTAGAACCCCGCAAAATTGTTGTCAGCACAAAACACTAATTAAGTACAAAAACGTCCATCCCAACCAAGCTTTTTCCCACAGAACCGCTGCACAGTTTGCCCCTAAACTCCGTACAATACCTCATGACATACTCACGTTATGTGCACCAAACAAACATCGGTGGATTCTGTCGGTTTTTCGGCAAAAATGATGAAAAATATGCCCTTTCTGCACTGAGCCAACCTGACACTTGAAACGTGCACGCGCGCAGAATGATCGCAGTCATTTTCGGGTTCGATCGCTCGGAGCGCGCCGCGGGGGGTACGTACTTGCACTTGTACGCATGTGCATACTATCGTTCCGCTCCTACACCATACCCCCCGCGGCGCGCTCCGAGCGATCGAACCCGAAAATGACTGCGATCATTCTGCCGCGTGCACGTTTCAAGTGTTAGGTTGGCTCAGTGCGGAAAGGGCATATTTTTCATCATTTTTGCCGAAAAACCGACAAAATCCACCGATGTTTGTTTGATGCACATAACGTGAGTATGTCATGAGGTATTGTACGGAGTTTAGGGGCAAACTGTGCAGCGGTTCTGTGGGAAACTGCTTGGTTGGGATGGACGTTTTTGTACTTAATTAGTGTTTTGTGCTGACAACAATTTTGCGGGGTTCTAAATCTATGAGGCTCCACTACGTGGAGCCTCATAGTTCTAGGAGTTATGGCTTTTGCTGTAATTTTCAGAAATGAACTATTGAAGGGGTTAGTATAATAGCTCAAATACTGTTTAACTGACATGTTGGAAGTTTTGGGTTCAAAAATGCTTGAAAAACCCAGAAAAACAAAAATGTTTAAGTAGTCCGGTTCCTTGACTCCACTATCGATAATTATAGATGTTGGAAAATTGTAAGGTAAGGGAACCGGTCTAGCTGGCCTGCACCCGTTTATGAACATGTACATGTAACCAATAGCAAACAAAATTTGGACTAAGAAAATTGTAAAATTGGAGCAGTAGTTGAAAAATAGTTAGGTTTTTCCAACGTTGGTCGGCCGACCACCGTTGGAAATGTATACAAAAGTATCATTTTCTTGAAAATGACTGGACACCAGGTGCCATAATTTTACAGGATGCTTTAAACTGTCATTTACCAACATTCTAGTAAGGCATTTCGTAAAAACTTGGTAGTTTTATTTTTCGACGTTTGCAAATGTTGTATTTTCCCTTTAAATGACAACCTAGTCCGAAAATTTGGGACTCTCAATACTGTGTGTGAGAGTCCCAAAACGTAAGGTATTGAAAACATGCAAAAACAAGAAAATAGACTGGCACCTAAAACAACCAGTCCAAGACAGCTTCAGTACTGCATCAATCAACCATGCCAAAAAAACTTAAAGGGAAGATACAACATTTGCAAACATCAAAAAACGAAATGATCAAATTATCACGAAATGCCTTACTGGATTGTTAGGGAATGACAGTCTTAAGCATCCTGTAAAATCGTAGCTCCTGGTGTGCTGTTAATTTCAAGAAAAACTGTATTTTTCCAGCGCTGGTCGGCCGACCAGTGTTGGAGAAAACTGGCTTATTTTCAAAAACTGCTCCTAATTATTCATATTTAGTTATTCCGCATTTTCTTTGCAATTGATTACACACCTGTGAAGGGGTACAAGCCTGCTAGACTGATTCTCTGACCTTACAATTCCCCAAAGTCTACAAATTGCTCTGTTTTCATCATAAGTGGGGCCAGGGAACCAGACTACAAGAACATGATTGGTTTTCTTGGTTTTTCCAGCATCTACAAGCCCAAAACGTGAAACAAGTCAGTTTAACAATATTTGCTATATAACATTCTAATCCTCCAAATGCATTTATTCTGAACATTGCAGCAAAAGCGAATGTTGTACATTCCCTTTAAGAAACATGTGGCATGAAGCGGGAATTAGTCTCAATTTACTACACATTTCTCCATAGTCAAGCCATCAGACTATTGACACTGAATGAAGAGGTCAGTCTTTTCAAATAGTTGGACCATGGTTGGACATGTACCAGTCTAGTATTTAGCCCCATTTTGAAATCACTTGACTTCCCTCTCTCATGTGCAAAATATTGAAAAAAAGGTCTCCTTTAAAAATTGAATTGAGTCTGCAAACTTGGTTGGTGAAATACTGAGGACATTTTCTTTGCCCTTGTGGAATGTTTGGAGAAATTTGCTGGCTAAACTGTGAGTAAAGTGGGCCTGATTTAGTTTTGCACGTTTCAGAGCACTCTAGGGCCCTGTCTGATGACAACCCCATGATAAAATTTAGGGCTGGGTAACTCCAGCTAATAGCAGAAAAGCAGGTTACTTTTTGCTTTACACTGACGGTTCAAAAAGGGACATCTGCTTTTCTGCTACCAGAAAATCATATTGAACATTTTGCAACGGTGGTTCAAAAGTGGCCATCTGCTTTTCTGCTAGCTACAGAAACTGAGCAGATGGAACGTTCCCGAACGCAACAATGCCACTCTAGTACCCACCAAAAAGTGGACGATTCCAAGTGACTCCGCCTCCGTCATTACGTCATCACAGCTTATGCCCGAAACTCTGTCCAATCCACAAACTGTTCTATTCACATAGCCAGGCAATGAAGACTTTCTCAAGCTTCACACTGGTGATGGACACCATTGAAGACCAGGATACCGAACTCGTTAGCCCGTTAGCCATGGTGAACAAATTTCCAGTATGATGGGCGACTGGGGGAGGGGTGACAATTGTTTTGGGGGATGGGAGGCGTGCGCCCCCACACCCCTCCCCCCGGTTTATCTGCCGATACCGTCAATTTTTGGGTAAAGAAGTTATGAGGTGTAACCAGTTTTTAACCAATCAAAGACAATTTTGGGGAAAATTGAAGTCTTTGACGTGTGTTTGTGTCGACACATCTGTGGAGTTTCACCGTGAAATTGAGAGCAATTTGAATTTGAATACAAAACCAATAGGAGCAGTTGCAACTGCAACTGTAACATACAGCCCCCCCCCCCCCCCCCCCCATGGTGACAACCCTCAGAGTTTTGGTTGTAGATGGTGTTCCTTCGCCAGGAATTGGTTTTCGGTATTTCTAATCAAAGAGAAGCGTTAGAGACAGCAGTCGGCATATATATGCATTCCGGTAATCAAAAGGAAATGTTCCTCCAATTTGGTTCATTGTGTGAGCCGACTTTTTTTCCGTCGAGTTCCGTATCCTGGGCTTCAGTGGTGTCGATCACCTGTGTGAATCTCGAGAAAGTTTTCATTGCCTGGCTATAATACTAGAAAAACGGTCTAATGATTGGACGAAGATTCAGGCATATAAGGTGTAATGACGTAATGACGGAGGCGGAGTCACTTGGAACCATCCACTTTTTGGTGGATACTAGAGTGGCATTGTTGCATTCAGGAACGTTCAATCTGCTCAGTTTCTGTAGCAAAACAGCAGATGTCCACTTTTGAACCACCGTGACAAAATGTTTTATTCTGCTTTTCTGGTAGCAGAAAAGCAGATGTCCACTTTTGAACTGTCAGTGAAAGGCAAAAAGTAAAACCTGCTTTTCTGATATCAGAAAAGCAGAAAAGAAGAAAAATGCATTTTAGAAAAACGTTCAATCTGCTTTTCTGGTAGCAGAAAAGCAGATGTCCACTTTTGAACGCCCCCTCCCCTTTGTCCCATCCTGGTGACGCCCATGCCCATAGCCTAGGTTTGTGCACAAATTGCCTGGTTTGTTTGACATATCCATACCCAAGATGCATTGCAGATATTGGGAATGTTTGGTAGGATTTTGTAATAGGTTGGTGTGGACATCCAGGAAATTTCCTTAACTCTCGTTCCCAGACCTGTTGTCATGAAGTTGATTGGTTCCTGAGTCTGTAGTGCTGAATGGTAACACATAGCAACCGGTGAAAACACACGTTATAATGAAAATATATGTTTTCATCAACTGACATAATGCCATGCCGCCCTGTTTTAGTATCTTTTCTATATTTTTGTCCCCAGATTTAATGACATGATATAATCGTGATCATGGTGTCCAGTTCAGTTGTTCTCACAGCTGGAGCAATCACTGCAATTTGCTACGTCGTCTATCTGATTGTGGGGTTACTACAAGGCATACGCAAGCAACGAGCGGCCTTGAAACAATGGCCAGGACTGCCAACACACTGGCTGTATGGCAACATTCACCAGGTAGTACAACAGTATTCATGAATAGACCTGAGACAGTTTACCCATTCCTATCGATCGAGAGGTGTGGGTGGTTTTAAACAAGGAAGAAATGTGTGTTTGGGGGTTGTTAAACACTATGTTTAAGACCGGTTGGAGTCTGGACTGCTGATAATTATCAGCATCCAGCTAGACTCCAACCAGTCTTAAACATAGTGTTTAATACCGACCAAGCACATATTTATCCCTATTCATAAATACCTTTTCGGTCAAAAAAAATCAGAACTTAATTTTCACCCCTCTAGCTGTATAATGGAGTGTCCAGCTCGCGAGTAAGACGTAAACAATGCCTTCTAAGGAGATTGGCACGCGTCACGCGTACTGAGTAATGTTGCGCAGATGCATCTGTGGCGAGTGCGTTCAGAATTTAGGACTATGAAATACTGACCCACTGGTAGTATTTTAATAGTCTACGTGAGGATTGTGAACGTTCAACCAATAAAACCGTAAAAGGCACTGGATTTCATAGGAGTCAAAATTTCATGTGACAAGTGGACCAGCCAGCCATGTCTTTATCGTCCGTTTAAGACCGGCCACGTAACAGGAATGATCAATGGGAATGGGTCTTAGGTATTTATGAATGGTTGATAAAAAACCGGTTGGCTGGTTTTAAACACTTTTCCAGTGTCACGTGAAATTTGGACTCCAATGCAATCTGATCCCTTTTACCCTTTTATTGGTTGAACATTCACAGTCTTCACTTAGGCATGCGCAATTAGTCTATATTTCATAGAGTCCTAAATTCACACTACACCGGCACAGCTGCATTCTGCGCCACATCGCGCAGTACGCCACATCTCATACAAGGAGATTTTTAGTACTAGCAAGAGGCGCATATAAGCAAGAGGGGTGTTAAAAAAAACGTGAAGAAAATTTTTGAACAAACACATTGGAAATTTAAATGTTTCACTTGTTATGACTTTTTGACCCGCTGAAAGGTATTTATGAGTGAGTATAAATATCTGCTTGGCCGGTTTTGACAAGTACATTAAAACCGGCTCAGGGGCCTGGACGCGGTAAACGATATACCTTTCAGTCAAAAATGATAAATACCTTTATGTCAAAAAGTCAAAACAAGTCAAAAATTCACACAAATTTCCAATGGTTTTGTTCAGTCATTTTACATCATGTTTTGTTAAGCACCGCTCTGGCCATGTCTAATGTACATGTATGTGCCTCATGCGCGTAGTGCTAAAAACGCATTGGCACTCGCGAATTCATTGGTGTTTTACCGGTGGCTGAAAACCACCCACGTGACAGGATCCCGACCCATAGGAATTGGTAAACTGTCTCAGATATTTATGAATTTCAAATTGAGCCATGAAATGTCAATACATCACGATAAGAGAAAATTTGCATCTTTTTGTGAGGCTCTGAAAATATCGGGGGGAAAGTCCTGATGCTGCAAGAAAAATGTAACTTGAACAAGGAGCTCTTTGATTTTTTAACATAGGTAAAAATACTTGGAAGACTTGTAAATATTTTGTACATTCTTTCTGAATTTAGCATCCAATGTTTGACGCCAAAGTGCGCAGTCAGGGTGGGGAGGAAGGCTTTCGATTTCATCGGGAGCTGACAGCCCGTTATCCTAGAGGCTTCTACTTCTTCCTGGGCCCCACACGCGGCATCTTGACGGCCAACCATCCAGACATCATGAGACCAATTATGAAGAGTGGAGGTGAGACGAGAAATTAAAAAAAAAAACCTTCATTGAATAAAGCAAAGAAAAAAATCTGCGTTTCCGGTTAACCAACCAAACCTAAAAATTCAGGTAGAACCTAACTCCTTTTATTAAAAAAAGTAAATAAATAAATAGATGAAAAGTCATGGTACTGCCCCCGTGCAAAAACAAAAAAACTATAACAAAATTTAAAATGAAATCCACAAAATCTCAGGGAATGGACTTTGTGCAGCAATTTGTCCAAAATTCTGCCGATTTCTGGGGTGAAAGCAGCCGTGATACCGAAGCCTCTGCCAAGAATGAAATCACTAGTTTGCTCATGAATGTGATACTTCACATTACCTGAAAAACAGAAGGCGGCAAAAACACCTTAAGAAATGGCAATATGAAAAACTATAACAAAAACCCAAACCAATTTTACACCTTTTTCTCTCCTACCTTGAACTAGATCCGAAGCCACTCGAACAAGGCCAGCCCAGCTACCACTTCGCCGTGCCCTGGTTAGGGGAAGGCTTACTCATTGCTAAGGGTGACAAGTGGTTCCGCAACCGACGCCTACTCACCCCGGCCTTCCACTTTGATGTGCTCAAGCCATACATGGGAGTCTTCAACGAAGCTGTGGATATCTTGCTGGTGAGTTGGAACCAGTTTGCGTCGGAGGACGTGATAACACGCAATGGCTGTTTTTATACACAGGCACGGCTGACGGGTTAAGACGTCAACATTGCCTCGCCTCGCCTCCAGGTGACGTCTAAACACGCCAATCCCTTGTGTCTTTAAGTCCGTGAAGTCTGTGGAGGCAGACCGTGTGTTGATCTTGAATTGGCCGTTGTGCACAGCCTATTTTTGTACAATTTACGCTCCAGTGCACACCCCAGAGTATTGAAACATATGAGGTTTTGGTATTAAAGAAATATCGTACAAATACTGTTGCAATTACTCTTGCAAATCAGTATTTGTGGCATTTGGCTGTATATCAGAATTTGGCCGGAAAAGTTTGCCTTTTGTGAAAATCACAATTTTCGGCAAAAGTAATCCCCGCACAAAGTGGTTAAAGGCATATAGGATCGTTTGCTTTTCATGCATTTTGTTCGTGTCCAATAATACCATCCTTCAAAATCCATAAAAGAGTGTTCAAAACTTAACCCATTGAAGTTTCAGCTCAGTGTATAGTACACTTTTGGGTGAGCAGTTTCCTGTCAAATTTGCCTGCTTGTCGGGTTGTCTTCGCAGGACAAAATGGACAGTTACGCTGAGAGTGGGGAGAGTTTTGAAGTGTCCAAGAACGTCAGCGCGTGCACCCTGGATATTCTCCTCCGATGTGCCTTCACCCAGGAGATGAACTGCCAGACCAGCGGGTGAGTGGATCAAATGCCCAAATTGTTATGTGCCAAAGAAAAGGACGCTAGGAGCACATACACGTAGAAGTTAGTTTTTGAGATAATCAATTTTAAAGGTTTTAGTGCTCCCGTTTACTTAAAATCACCAAAGGCAGAAATTTTGACTGATAAAATGTATTAATAATTTGAATAATATTTTGCATTTTTAAAATGAAAATTGTTATTTTCAAGTTATTTACAATGTTATCAAAGTAACCTCTTGCCAAGGACACCCTGCTTTACCTCTGCCCTTCAGGGGGACGTACACGCACTGGGAACATATTTTGTATTACATCATAAAGCAATTGAAAACATGATTACGTTGTTACGCTGGAGAAAGGTAATGAACAACTGCCTTCCATCTTTAGTAATGATTTTTTTTATAGCTTTTTGAGTCAACATTGAAACCAAATCAAAGATTTCCATGCACTTATTGTTTACCCTTAAAACCCTGAACTTGCCCTTTCGACACCCTTTTGACCCTTATGACCTAAAGGGGTTATTTACACCCCCCCCCAATATTTTGTAACGACCGCCCTTCTCCATTGAAATGCCCTTTTTTTACCAGCTCTTAGGCCAAAAAAAAAATACTTCTGCTTCCGATTACACGTCTTTCAAAAATAGGGTCGGTCGGTAGAATTTTTTTTTTATGCTGATTGAATGGGGTATTCAATTATATGCGAAGTTTTAGCCTGAACTACTTCCATTGCACTACCAAAGCTATACAAAAAGAAGGCCACAAAAAGTGAATAAAACCTACTTTAATAATTGTCAATATATTTACGTTCGATAATTTTTTAAGAAATAATGGGAAATTCAGGTCGTGCTGACCATATGCACAATGCTAGTCAAGACGGGAAGCTGGCCAAAACTCCATGCGTGATGCATGCACTTTACGGGGACAGACCTCGTTTTTACTGTAAATCATTTCGGGGAAACACGCTGCATCGCATCACTTCAAATACGAGTAGTGCGATCTCAAAATGAACTCTTGAACATGGAAAATACATGCACAGACAAGAGAGATCAAGTTCTGTGAATTAACTTGCAAAAATGTTCTTTCTCCATCAGTGTTTTCTTGGCATTTTTACGATGTCAAATCCGAAACCGCACAGCCTACCATGCATAGCCATGCACAGACTGGTTACCGCATTTTCATCATGTTCACCTAGATTGGCCCCTGCGCGGCGCGGCGGGAACAAGTCATCGCCGCATTGAGCTAGCATTACTCACGTGTAACGTCACCGCAACATTGAATTGCGAAGTAGTTTTTAAAAAATTTTTTTAAAACAATGGAGGTTTCTTTTGAAAATCAAATAGCAAATGTAAGTTTATAGAAAACAATTAAATACAAGCATTTTTGATGCAAAAGGGTTGTTGAGAGGTATTTTGTAAAGACAGAAAAGACAACAAGATGTTTTTTTATTTATTCAATCATTAATTTTTTTTTTGGGAATTGCCAATAAATTTTTTTAGGGTTGTAGCCTAAAAATAGGGTTGGTCGGGTAACCGGAAGCAGAATAATTTTTTTTGGGCCTTACCACCCCCCCTCCCCAATTTTTATACAGAGTACCCTTTTGTTAACAAATGTCCTTTTTTTCTGAACAAGTGCCCTTTTGAAAAAAAAGTCACCCTTTTTGTGGCAGCGGTATTACAAGTGCCTTCTTTTTTAATTTTGCACCTTTATCTCCCGGAAAAGCGCCATTGTCTGTTTGTGTGCATACTGGTCAGTTTTGAACAGTGCCCCTATATGATTTGTGTCCGGAGAAAGCATTTCAGCACGGATGTGCAAGTGCCCTTTTCAAGAAATGTTTAACCCCCCCCCCCCATAAAAATAACCTTGCTACGCCCCTGATTACAATACCACTAATCTGGGTCTTGCATTTGACATTGGTCTTTGACGTGGTTGATTTATCTTGTCTTTTTTCAAAAATAGTGTTTTTTGGCCAAAAATAATCCCGGCGGCAAGTGGTTAAAAAAAAAGTTATGGGAAAGTAGATTTGGTCAGGTCACTTGAGTTTAGCAAAACAATGTGGAAATTTAAAATTAAAAAAAAAAACCCCACAGATTAGAAACAAAATGTTTTGGATATTTATGTCGTTTGTGCTCGATTTTAGTATAATCAAAACTGATTTTGGACTTCTTTTCTGTTTTTTTGCAGTGATCACCCTTATGTACAAGCTGTGGGTGAGCTGACCGGAGATATAATTGAAAGATGCTTGTAAGTATATGTCGGACAAAACATAATTAACCTTGTGTTTTGTTTCAAAATTGGAAGGAAAAAAAAAAACACAACCCGTAGTAAATTTCACGAAGCTTGGGATTTCCCAGTTACTTGTCTGTCAACTGAATAGGATTCTTTTCTTTTTTTTACCCCCGTTTTTGGACCAGTAATTTTTTGTACTACTTTGACGTCTTCTTCAACTTGTCCAGTCTGGGAAAGAAGTTCCATAAGAACTGCGACCTTGTGCACCGATTTGCTGACAATGTCATCGCTGGTCGACGTGTGGAACTGGTAATGATTATCATGCTTGTGCATCAAAATGCTTAATTCATTTAACAATTGTTGACTGCTGTGATGTAGTGTTCTGCAAACCGGTCAAGATCGTAAGTTGGTGCAGAATTCTCAAGCCTTTTGGCCTCAAGCTCCACCCTGAAGGATATTTTGGAGAATTTTAAGGGGATCGAAGTGTCATCTGCAACATCAGCCGACATTTGTAGAAGAAAAAAGTAGGGGCAAGCTCCATACCAGACACCGGAGACTTTTTGTTTTGGCCTAATGTGTCCAATATTTTTGAGGGGTTATTTGCACACTAGAAACCATGAACAGTGTGGTACTCTACACTGTTACCAACAATAGCATACAGTATACCAACGCTGCCCTCACTGGGCAGATAGAAGCAATTGAGGTAAAGTGTCAAGCCCAAGAACACACGTGTTTAGTAAGTCTGATGCTAAGCAAATGTTCTTGAAGATGGTGTCATGAGTTTTAATATCAAACTCAACCATTCATCCACAACACCTCGGGGTTAATTAGCTCCTAGTTAATACTCCATGACATGGACATTTTCAATGTTTCTTAAAAATTCTTACAAGTGCCCCTGATCTGATTTATAAATGAAGGAAAAGGGCCAAGCTGCCCAGGCTGACAGTTCTTCCAGACGTAAGTACCTAGACTTCCTGGACATCCTTCTCTCTGCTCGCGACGAAGACGGCAAGGGGCTGACGGATCTGGAGATTCGTAACGAGGTGGACACGTTTCTCTTCGAGGGCCACGACACCACAGCCAGCAGCCTGACCTGGATCCTGTACTTTCTAGCACTGTATCCTGAGCATCAGGCAAGAGTCCAAGAAGAAATTGACGAAGTGCTCTCGGGACGTGACTCGGACAACATTGGATGGTAAGCAGTGGGGTTTAGAGGTATGGTAGATCATTTTGTCATTTGTGCATTTGTTTGATTGAAGCAACAAAAGTGCTCAAAATGTAAAGACAGATGCTTAACAACTAACCTGATGAAATTTTAGCTCAGCGAATGCTGTATATTCCGGGAAAACTATTCTAGATAGGATCTCGGTTTCAATTCAAAAGTTGCCGATTCATGTTTTCAATTGCGTCCGAAATCAGCATCCAGGACACATTCTCATTCAGCCGATTGCAGCTGCGTGATGTCACGCACTGAACTGACAGGTAATAGCAACCGTGCATCCTGTCAACGCTTGCGCGCACCCATTCATGGATTCGCTGAGCTACAAACCAACTACTAACAGAAATTTCCAACAGTGAGTCACTTGACGCATCTTTGCCAGGAAATGGCCTTCTTTAATTGTTTTTTAATTGTTTTTTAATTGATTTCTTCAAAATGACAGCATGCCAGAAAGAATAATTTCACAGGGACGGTATTGCCATTACTAGGGAATATACAACGGAATATACAACATTTGCTTTTGCTGTAATTTTCAGAAATGGATGGATTTGGGAGACAAGTATTTATAGCAAATATTGTTACACTGACTTGTTTGACGTTTTTTATGCATAGATGCTGGAAAATCCTAGAAAAACAATCATGTTATTGTAGTCTGATTCCCTGACCCCATGACATAAGATGAAATTGTAAGGTCAGAGAACCAGTCTAGCTGGCTTGTACCCATTCATAGGAGTGTAATCGATTGCACAAAAATGCGGACTATTGGGGCAGCATTTTAAAAAAATTGCTGTTGGCAAGTTTTAATTTTTTTTTTATTCTTAATGTAATTCTTTCAGGGATGATCTTGGTAAGTTCCCGTACCTTGTTCAGTGTTTGAAGGAGTCGTTGCGCATCTACCCACCGGTGCCGTTCATCCAGCGAGTTATTCAAAATGACGTGGAGATTGACGGCAAGATTTTACCGGCTGGGACGACACTGGACGTGTCTGTGTACAATCTTCATCACAACCCGGAGATATGGCCCGATCACATGGTAAGAAACAAAGCGGTTTCCTTCACTTGAAGGAAAAAAAAAATCTTTTTGTCCTCATTGTGCAGTTTCATGAAAATTGAAATTCATAAGTACGTATGTGTTTACCCATTTTCAGTTCACAGATTAATAAAGCCTAGGAACAAAGACATAGAAAAGCAATTGTTAATTGTTTAAGCAATAAAGGGCCTGACCAAAGAGTTCACAATCCACCTCCACCCTGTTGAAACAGCGCCCTCTTGGGACGGTCAGAAGAAAACTTGTACTGCACAATTTGATTTTTGGGTGTCAATTTTGAACTCATTATTACCTTCTCCAAGGAGGTTATACAGTCGAGTCTCGTTAATACAAATTGTTTGTTATATCAGAATTTTGTATTAAGAGGAACATCAGTCCCATTCATTGTGCACATAAATGCACAGTCGGGACCAAGGCTTTATGTTTGTTATAACCGGAATTTGTATTAGCAGAGTTTGTACTAACGAGAGTCAACTGTATTTTCATTGGCATGGGTTAGTATGTTAACAAGATAAATCCAAAAGTTATGGACCGATTTGCATGAACATTTTTTTAGGGGTGGTCCTTGGTACAAGGACAAATCCATTAGATTTTGGAAGTGATCCGGATCTGGGTCTGGATCCAGGATTTTTTTTTAAGGATTCTTCACCATTTATGCGAGTATTCTTTTAAGTGTACTGACATTATGGGGGTGAATTGTTTAGCCTTTTGCTGTCTAGTTTTTCAATTGTTTTCTTCTGATGTTACTTACAGGAATACATACCAGATCGCTTCTCACCTGAAAATATCCAGAAGATAGACCCCTTCGCCTATCTTCCATTTGCAGCTGGACCTAGGTGAGTTTTTATAAAGAACCCCTCAAAATTGAGAGTACATCTACTTGAACAAAAGTACTGGGTATGAGGCTTTCGAGTCATAAATCACACATTGAAGTGCTTGGGTGCAGGAGTACTGCAATTGTACTTCCAAGAGCTTAGTTGAGGATGGAGCACAAGTGGTGCGAATACAGAACATGCCAGGACGCTTATGGTGCTGTGGACATGGATGAGTATCAACGAAAACTACTCCTGAAAGCCTGCAAAAAGCCCTACTTTTATCCTGATTTTGTCCCCCAAACACCTGCTCTTGTCCTGTCCTGTCCTGTTTGAAAATAAGACCGTTTCCCTCCTTTCCTCCCCCAGAAACTGCATCGGGCAGAACTTTGCCATGAATGAAGAGAAGGTGCTCCTGGCCCGACTCCTGCGACGCTTCCACATCGAGCTGGACCCGGACCACCCTGTGGTCCTGTCCAATCACTTAATCCTCAAAGCCCACCACGACATCAAGATCAAGATCACCAAGAGGAAGCTCTGATTTCTAATGCCATCCACGAGGAAATCTTTCAACAAATCCATCCACTTTGCTTCAGTAGTTCCTGATCCTTGTCCATTCAGGAGTTGTAGAATGATGCTAGAATGTTGCTAGGATGACTAATGCAAACAAGCGCCTTCCAAAATCAATTGACAGCCATGCGAATGCATGCCCTCTCTACTGACCAATTTCCTTTCCAAGACATTTGTCAATGCGCCCGTTTGTTTCATTCCAGATCCTGTTCGATATCATGTGATCCAGCGCCATGCAAAAACAAAGGGAAAAACTTGCGTGCCGAACTCTTTAGGGCACACACGAATGTCCTCTGCTTCGGATTTTGAAGGCAGAAAGGCTATTTTGTTTATAAGCTATGATTTCCAGAAAAAGTAAATCAATTGTACTATATTTAATCCTGAAAATACACTCTGAAAGAATTATGAAGAAATATTGCTACAAAAGCTCAATTGACGCTTCGAATCTACTAAATAAAGTTATGGTTTCTCCTGTCCGTCAAACGTCAACATCTTTGATTTTTCGAACCCACCTTGCAAGCAGGGGCCAATTTCACGGAGCTGCTAAGCACAAAAATTTGCTTAGCGTGACAATTTTTCCTTGATAAAAACAGGATTACCAACCAAATGTTCATGTGTTGTATATTGCTTGTGACTGGTGTTCAGCTGCTGTTCGCTTAACATAAACAATCCCATGGAATTTTGGCTGTTAACCTGTTTTTCTTGAGCAAGACATTACTGTGCTGAGGGAATTTTGTGCTTAGCACCTCCATGAAATTGGCCCCAGGATCCGTTAAAACGTGATCTGGAGCAGCTACATGTATCGACGCGTCGGATCACCGATCGCGATCCGGATCTGTGAGAAACAAACAGGCCCAAAGTATTTGTAGCTTGGAGCTAAATAGATATTATATCATCGCAGCACTATAGAAAATATTTTATCTAAATTGCATAGTAAATAAACTGATATTCTCAAACATAACTTAATTTTGATTTTACTAAAGATATATTGTACCATAAGATATACTCGGTCTGAAAAAAATGTAAACACTATTGCGAATATTTTTTCTCAAGTTCTTTAGTTTTTTTTTAATAGTTTCTACAAACACAATACAAATTTACAGTGACTTTACAGTGAATGTCAATAGTCGCTTTTTGTAAAGGTAATATTTAAGACCAATTAACAGTATATAAAACATTTGATTTAAGAATACAAACACAGAAAAGTTCAGATTAATCATTTGTTAAGCACCAAATTTGCCTTAACAAACGAAGTACAGCAATTCACTATGAAACTTTGAAATCAGTACTGAAGTTTGCCAATAAACACACATTTTCTTAAATTATATTTGTGTATTTTTGAATCAATAATTTTTTGATGATTATTAAGTACAGTAAAAAAAGTTCTAGTTAAACATTGTGCTAGACCGTGAAGCATAAAAGTACTTTTAGCAAACAAGCACTGAATCGAATGCCTTAAAATTCAAAGCACTATACTGAACTGTAGAATTGTGTCAGGCAGACAATATTTACTGTAAAAAAGATATTTGAATATTTTGTCGAATACAATAATTTGCAACGATGTGTGTAAATTTTTAATAGTACAGTGCAAATGTGTGTGCTTTTGTAGTCAATTGTAAAAACCCACAACAGGATTTTAACAAACTGAACATTCACTGTCAAAAGTTTGGCCAACATCGCACCAGCAGTGATTGTGTAGTACAGAGATAAAGGCTTCAAACTGTGTGAACCATTTATTAAGCCTTAGTTTTAAGAAAAGTACAAGTAAAAGATGTTGTGAATTGAAAATGTGATCAAACACAATGAGAACAAACTATGTACATGTACACCGACAAATCAAGTAATAAAAGCCTGAATAAAGACAGTGACATGAAATACTCAGTTGTTTGGTTAAGTTTTTCCATGAGTGAGTAGAGAAAGCCTCTATTAAAGACAAACCTTGTTTTTATAACCCCAAAACTTCAGTTTCCCCACAAGCAAGGGTAGGATGATAATGATATAAAGCCCTTTGACTATATCGTCTTTGCTCTTACCCCCCGCCCTGCAAACAGGACGCTGGGACGGGCTGATGAATTTACGTTCTGATTGGATAGATTTTGCGTGACCTACAGGTCATAACACTGCAAGGTTTTAAACGGCTGTTCAAACCGAGTCACTACTCTTTTACCGGTAGTATATTAATTTTAAAGCGTATATTAATGTAGGAAAATCTGTAAAACTTATCTGTTTTGTAAATTTTCAATTCCCGTCACTTGCCCAGGCTCCGTTTTGAATTCACGATGGGTTGCATATTAAGCGACGCTCAAAATTTGTCCACATGGTCCGCAATGAAAAAGAAATCATATCTGGTATGGAGAGTGATAGCATTTACACGCATTGGCTTTATACTGCGTAAACAGCTGCAGCCAGATGAATTACCCAGAATGCCACCCCCACTTCACAAGATTCTGTGAAGCTCATTAGCCCTTCCCAGTGCCCTGTTTGCAGGGCGGGGGGTAGGAGTGAAAATACTGTGTTGAAATCAACACGGGTCCACCGTACGTGTAACCCGGGTTCCATCGAATATGGGTAGGCAAGGCATACCGTTCACACTTAACACTGTGTACATGGGTCGGCTGTGGATTTCAGATTTTCTACCCGGGTAGAGCATCTCAACCCTGGTCCAAACCAGGGTTAGATTTTACCCGTTTAGAGCGCCGGACCCGTGTTGAAAGTGAAGACCCTGTTGAAAGACCCTGGACAGTGTGAAAAGGGTTCCCAAAATCTCAGTGTTGGACCCCGGGTCCAACACAGTGTTTGTGTGTGAAAGGCCCTAAAGCTCATTTAAATTGCAGCAGACACTTGATGTCAATCGTCAACTACGTGTAATTACAACCATGAAGAGGCTTCTCAATTTAAAAAAAAAATATTCACAGCTTATAAAAGTGAGTGTTGCATTTTTGACTTTGCCATACAAAATGTACAAAGAGAGACAGGTTTCACTCAAAATGCACTCAGAATTAAACTAACATACATGTAGTAGAAACACCATGGCAAAAGTACCCCAACCCCTACGAAAAGTGTATTTCACTCCTGCAGTCTGAAAAAGTTAAAGCTTTGTGCAAGAAAAAGTCCAAAATGAGGACCTGAGTATGGTGTTGAAATGTACTCCCTAGGTAGTTTTTAAGCTTAATATGAATTAAATGGTGTCATAAAGCCCTCAACACATTTTGCAGACACATATAAAAAAATGTTTTTAAAATTGTGAATGACATTGTAACAAATCTTGTCACAGGCAGAATACCAAGTTATACAAAAATATGTACTGAAATGACAGACGTCGTCATTAATTTGTTAATTAACAAATCACTTTATTTATAAAAAATTACATAGCACAAACTTGATTTGATCTGTAAGCAAGAAGCCACATCAAGACACAATACAGTTCTTTCCTTTCCTCTTGGATTTCTTCCTTCCGTTGGACTGCTTTTGATTGAACGGTTGGGATTGAGACCGAGTTCTTGCGTAGGTCTCTACGTAACGAATTCTGGGCCCCAGCTGACCCTTGCCGCTGGGACTGAAATAGTCCTCGTCTTCCGATGAGGATGAGCTGGACATATAATCGTCACGGTAACTTCGCCTCCTCCCACTGGAGCAGCGATCCATGGCTGCTCGCTGATCAAGCGTGACCTCGGACCGCGAGCGACCGGTGACTCGCTCCGAGTGATACACGTTGGACTTCCTGTCAAAATGGTCTGGATCCCGAGGATTCCTGGGCTGTGTTGGATAGTGTCCCATGGTTTCTGGCCTCCTCATTCCATTGTGGTAGTTGGCATTGGTCTTGGGTACCAGACCGTGCCTGTAGCTATTGTCCGATTGCGGCATGATGTAACGTTCGTCGTTGACGCTGTGAGTGGACTGTGTTCGCTGGGATCCCCCGATGGTGTTAGTGGCTGTTCTGACTTCGCTGGCTGCGCGTCTTTTCATTTGATCAGTGTTTGGTGGCTCCTTATACCTCCCCTGTACGGCTTCGTTCTTTAAGGCCCGGTTCTGTGCCGAGGTGGCACTATTGCGTCTCCTCTCAGAGGCAGTTCTCATGCTTGCCCGCCGCCTTTCTTCGGCTGCTGACTGTGACTGTCGTCTGAGATCCGGCAGTGAGTGACGCGACAGGTTGCGTGACCGATGAATAGACTGCTGGGTCCGGTCCTCCGCAGTCACAGCCGACAAGTTATCCAGATTGAGCTCTTCAACATTGATCGGTCGGCGGCTGCGACTCATATTGGGAGACCCCAACCCCATTGGATCGTCCATCTCTTGTGGGGCTTTCTCCCCACGACTGCAGTTTCCACTGCAGTAGATCAGTCCGTGCTTTGGCAAGAAGGGACGGCCCAGTAGCGATATCCCGCAGGTACAGCACTGGAAACATTTCTGGGTGGCGTGCCAGTGTTGGCCCTCGTGGGACATCTGTCCCTGGTCCACACCGATGGGTTCCCCGCAGGTGTCGCAGTACTCGGCAAACATGGTCTCGAAGCAGGTGCAGCAGTAAGGCTTGCCCTCTCTCATGATGTAGCGCTCACCGCCGAGCTCCTTGTCGCACTCAAAGCAGCAGAAATGCTTCATGTGCCAGCTGCGGCCCTCGGCCTCGGTGCATTCATCAGCAAAGATGATCTGAAGATTGGGGGGAAATAAGACACAATGAAATCATGAGACACAATAACATGCAGATTAATCAACCAAATATACCTCAGGGTTTAATAAGTAATTCCTTTTGTATCCCATGTCAACCACAATCTAGCTCCTGGATCCACTTTTATGGTGTGGCTATGCAGCAAATTTGGCCAAGTACTGTGTAAGCCCTATGAAAAATGAAGCATAAAAACAGTCGATGCCAACAGGGCCAGTATAGCATCCTGCAGATTATAGAGCTCATATCCGACTCATATCTTCACTCTGAAATTTTAGTCGTAGGCAAGTTCTGTTGCATTTTGATGATCAGAATGGTACACAAAAATTTAATTTTAATTGAAAAATTCTGTTACATTCAGCATTGCCCAATTTCATGGCGCTGCGTAACAGCCGATTTTGTGCTAACAGAGCCTCTGTCTATTTCATACAGACTGTAAGCAGTAAGCACAGCAAAAGCACGTTTAACCCCGGAGGAAAAAGTTGCTTAAATTAGCGATGTAACATAGAAATCTCCATGCACATGCAACCGTTAGCACATCCACGTCATGAAAAAGTGAAAAACTCAGCGTGATTTTCTGCTACAGTAAGCACAACTTTTCTGCTTACTTTTAAGCAGTACTATGAAATTGGACCCAGAGCACAAGCAACTGTGATATTAAAACAAACAGTAATTTCTTCAAGCAAATGTGATGCGATCAAGCTACATGAGTTGCTTGTCAGGAATTTTCATTTGGAGATACAGGGCAAAATAGGGCCACTTCATCACATCTCTTGGTGTTCTGACTTCCATAATTTTTGAACTAATGATGGTATCAGCATGCAGTTTTCACAGCAGTAATGCTGAGATTGTGCTTATATAATAAAAAAAAATTTACAGGGGTCGACAAAAGACTCATTCAGCTTGATCGCATCACAAATACTGAAGTGTTTCGGAGGGTGAAGTACCACAAACGTTACATCAATATATACCTCATCACAAGCAGCACAGCGCGGCTTCAAGGTCTCGGCGTTATGCCTCCCGCAGTATATCTTGCCCTCTCGGTAGAAGTAGATCAGATCAACCAGTTGTTCGTTGCAGACCGCACAGACGAAGCAGGCCGGATGCCAGCAGGCGTTGGGACCAGCCCGGGAGGCAAAGATGGCGATATCCCCGCCGCACACAGCATTGCCACACTGTGGGAGAAAACAAAATCAGCCAGATTTGAAGGGTTAGCTTTGACATCGACACCCTAAGCATTTTTGAAACTTCCCAAATCCTCCCAAAATCCAACACTAGTGGGAAATCAATGGATATCTCGGTAACCTCAAGGGTTGTCAGGCCCTGTGGAATGAACTGAACACTGGCTGGTTGCTACTGGTACATTGTACCATCCTCAAGCCTACAAAATCCTTTAAAAAAAATGATGGATTTGGCAGGCTGTGCAAAAAACATGCGAGCTGAGTATGCTCTAACACAATTGGAACTCACTGCTTATTTTACCCACCGAGTGTGCAAAAACAAGCACAAAATGCCAAGAGAATGTTTCTCAATCGAGCGGCAGCCATCTTGCTTGTCATGGGACTGGTCACGTGAAAACAAGTGAAGATGTTTTTACTAGAACAGTTCTTAGATTGTGTCACAATGTTACAAAATCTAAATTGCACTGAAAACCAGTTACTAAAAAATAAATGTGCAATTGTACTTCAGACATCGCACAAAATATTAAAAACAACTTTTCAGTACCTCAATATTGTAAGTTGAACAGAGAAGTCATACATATATCCAGGTTTTTGTTGTTAACAAACTCTCCCCCAAAATCAGTAATATTTAGTACTAATATCACAAACTGATCACACTGCACATTTACTGAAAGATGATCTGCTGTTTGATTGATTATGTTTCTTTTGTTTATCTACTTTTTGGAGGCATTTTTATTGGGGCCAAACCTTTGCAATGTTCCACTCTACTCGCGGCTTTCTGCATAGGATACGTGTAATACAAGTGCGCATACGTCATTTATATTCTCACATAGACTTTGACATTCGGTGTATTAATCATCAGTCTTTACAAATAGCCATAATTGCATGATCAAATACAGCAACATAAAAAAATTCACTTTCGTTCTGTCCCTCGGCGGAATTTGAAGTGGCATAGCTGTTTGGGGCTGAGTGCGCTGTATTTTATCTGAGGGTTTGTGGCGTCACACGTCGAGTATCCGTTGCTTGGGTGCGACAATACATAATTGGAGACGGTGGGTCTCCACCCACTCCAGTATTTACACGCAACTAGCTTATTCAAATGTCGTCACTTGCTCTTCAGTTAAGAACCCGCCAAAAATTAGGATGATAAATTGAAAGTTGGTGGTCACTTTCTGAGGAAATGAGACATTCCAGTATAAGGGATGAGAGTGTAATTTAATAATATCAAATGGTGTTGGATGGGGGAAGGGGGGGGGGGGCTGTTTGTACACTGATTTTGAGTGTCTTGAAGAATATACATGCCGGTGGGAGGGGGATGGTTGTTTGGACAGACTGGAGTACAATTAGCATTTACTGATTTCCTTTCCTCCGTAGTGAACACTTTATGGGTTTAATTTGAAATTAATTTGGAATTGATTGTTGTAGTTTGTAGTGCACTTTAGTGGATTTTAAATAACTTTTATCTGAGGTTAATACTGTTCATAATGTAGGGCGCTTAACAATTTTATTTGGAAAATGCATGGTAGAAATGTTATGTTTATTACCATACACTTTTTTTTGGTAATATGCAGGATGGCAAGTATATTGGAAAGCAGCTTGCTGGTATTGCATGTTTTCTTTTTTGAAGAAAAAAACAATAATAACAAAAAAAGAGTACTTTTTTAGCACAACTTACTTTCCAAGTCAAATCCCCTCCCCCTTAATCCCCTCCCCACAAAAAACCCATACAAATGAGACAATCAATGGTGATAGAAAGATCTCCCTTTACTGTTTTGGACTACTGAAAATAGCTCCCTTACTACAAACATGGCTTTTCATTTTCAGACCCAGCAGTTAGCTCACATTTATTATGTATTTTTGGTGCGACCGTTTCTGCATGCCCAAGTACTCTCTACAAATGTGATGCGTACTTGGGTATCCCTGCATTGACTTCACAGAATGAGTGACGGTAGGAATCCGCGGCGTCCAGCCGGGCCCCAGCATTCTGACATGAAGCCAATGTTATCCAAACAGCCCAGGGTCCGATCTGTTACATACAATAATACCGGCCCAGCGTGTAGTCATAACCGTGAAATGAAGCCCACACTGCATGGGGTCGAACAAAATCCAACTGATATACGATCGGGGCCCGCACGTTTTTCTTGCTTTAAACACGGCAAGCAGCGCCGTGGAATTTACACATCACATTGGCAATGACGACTCAAATACTGTACATGCATCATGCACACGCATTGTGTGAAAAGGCATTATTTTGCAAGTGAACAAAATGACATGGAATGCCTGTAGTATTACAGTTTGTGATAATACAGGGTGAGTCAAAACAAACGAAACCAAAATGTCGGGACTATTGTTTTAGAGAAGTTGTGCATGTACCACTTTGAAAATGTAGGATATGAAAGCCCAATTCATAAGCTTTCTTTTAGTACAAGAATCAATCAAATCACTCATTTGGCATTCCTGTTATTACATTACAAATATTACAACTGAGAAAAACTTAAATAAAAACAACCTGAGATTGCCAAAATATTTTAAGATTACAAATTTAAAATGGATTACTGTTCTGTCAAGACTCTTCCAAACAATCAGCCTCTCCCTCCATCAATCTCTGACTCGCTAAGTCTCGCCATTTTTCAAATCTCGCTTTTGTTTTCGGCTTTGGCTTCATCTCCGGCTCCAGAAGGATTTAGGAACCATTAATCCTAAACCCAAACAAAAATCCCAAAAGCTGGCTTCACATCAGGATTTGAAGTCTGAGCAGAAATGGGACATGATAGCTCAAACCTCATGGGTCTAAAATCATTTCATAATGAATTTGGAAGCCGAGCTGAGACAAACCCAAAGTTTAAGATTCATCTAATCGACCAATGACCAACCTGATGGCAGACGCATCCAGCCAGGGTCAGTGGCAGCGGCCTGGCCGTCCCCCTCCCCAGGGCCTCCCTCTTGCGCTGAGAGCTGAACAGCTTGAGTTCTCGCTTCTCCTCCTCGCTCAGCCCGTTGCAGTAGCGCACCTCGTTGTCGTGGGGTGGCAGCTGCTGCATCAGGGACTTGATGCGGTATTTCTCCCCGCCGCTGTTGACGTAGGGGATCTTGTCGTCCGGCAGGGCGTTCATGTACTGGTGAACCTTTGGTGTCCAAAAAGAACAGATTAATCAATCTGCCATGTTTTTGTCATTCAGTATCACATTACAGGTTTAGCGCAACAAATTTCAATCAACGTTTTTCAATGCACACGAAGGGCCAGCCATAATCCTTTGACTGACTGAGCGACTACGTCTCCTGAGTATACAATGAACACAGACTTTTGGATCCAGTTTCGACTAGTAAGCACGCCAAGTCTCGTTTTCGTAAATCCATCCTTCGGAATTACATACAAGATTCATTGAAGCAATTTCTTATTGACTTCCAAGCTGTCTAATTTAACCCCAACCCTTTTAAGATCTCCTCGCAGATAGTCTTGTAATGTACATCCTACTAAACAGATGCAATTTCAGCTCAGAAAACGTCGCGGATGGAAAATTGAAAATAGAAAGTCGTGACGTTTCTCTGACGGCGGTGCTGCGTGTATTAAACCACCGAGGAATAAGAATGAACATGGAAACTTCAGTTTGCTTACGTATGCCTCACTTTGATTTCCAAGATGGCGCACCCTGATAAAGGTGTATTTAATACCAGTTTTAGATACCAGGCAACAAGCAAACAAGAGAGGCCCCAATCCCAATATTCACACATCATTTTGAAATACTGTTTCCTGCACACTGTCTGTAACTGATCTCACTTGAAGCATCATTTTTTTTTTTTACGTCATTTTTTTTTTTTACATAATGCCATCCGATCTGGTTACACTACCTGTTCCGGCTTGAGGCCCGGAGGCACCCACGTGTACTCCTCCAAGATGCAGCCGCTGTCGTCGTCGGAGGTGGAGTTCCTCTGGAAATCCGTCATCATGCGGCTGACTGTCTTCTCCTGGTCCCCCGACATGATGTAATGGTCCTCCCGCGGACACTTGCAGTGCAGGCAGATCTTCCTGTGTTACACAGCCAAAGGGGGGAGATGGGAGGGGGGGGGGGGAGGAGTGGAGAAAGAAAGGCAGACCATGAGACAAAGTAATGAACGGTCCCGGGGTTTAATTACAAATTACAAATTACCCTGCTAACCGGTCCGTGGGGAAGGGGGATTTTGATTGTGATATTAGTCATGAAATCTGAGGGCAATGAACATTGGGCTGAGGATTTTTTTATTTTTAAAGTATTTTTAAAGGGACGCTCTGGTTTGTTGGACTTGAGGTATGGCACCTGTGAATGGAGATCATTGAGATAATTTAAACCTGGGCTTATTTGTCATTAGCTACTTGAACACTACATCCGCCTTTTATTTATCCACTCCAGAACTTCAACAAAGCAACTGGGCTTAATTTATATGGAGCTGCTAAGCATACAAAAATGACGCTAAGACATTTGAAGAGCTAAAAATGTTCACTAGCTATATTACGTGACCTTTAGTTTAAGGTGATAACCTGTTCTTTTAGCAAGGCAAAATCAGGTATTCAAGGTAAGGGACTCCATGAAATAAGCCCCAGCTGTGAGTTACATGTACGGTGGTCCAGTTCACAGAAAATAATACTGGAAAGTATTTTAAGGTTGAACAAAGAAATTGACTGGAGCGGGGTTCGAACCTGCGACCTCTGGATTGCCGTTCTGGTGCTCTACCAACTGAGCTATCCAGCCCTATGTTGGCAGTTTCCCCTTTTTGTCAATGTCTTTGTTCAAGCGGCGCTATTCAGAAGCTATAAACCAGTACAATGTACATCACGTAGCCAGGGGTCACGTCCAAAAGTCACGAAGCTGGCAACATTAGTAATGCTGCAAACCCGGAAAAATAGCAAATGGGGATCACTCAGAGAGGATACTGCTTTTTGTATGGCTTCTTTGACAGAAAGTCCACAGAAAATGTCTATGGTTAAACAAGCAACATGAACTACATGTAATGAACAGTGCTGGCATTGCTGCCAAGCCATGGTTTGGACCAGACAGTTACAAAATGTACATGGACATCTCATGAAGAATTAGGCACTCTAAAATGAGTGATAAATTACAACAGTAGGAAATTGGGCAATTGAGATCAAGTGCTATTCAATCTGAAATGTCAGTATTAGCTCAATAAATTGCAGCCCTCAAAAACATTACGACATTTCATTTCTTGTTGCACATCATTTCCATAGGTGTACACGACAAGGGTATAAATCGCATTTGTGCAGACAAACTGGGAAAACTGTATGACTGGCTATCAAGTAAAATATTGATTTATTCATTTTCCGAATCAACTGACATCTGTAGCAAACCAAATTAATGACAGGGAGAAAAATACTTTATGAACCGTACCGTACGCTGAACCAATCCCTATACAAAGTGCTCACATTCTGAGTCACAACAATGTGCCCTTTTTTATGAGGCATGAATTTCTTTTGATAATTTCACAAAAGAGAATTACATTGTTGGGTTCTCAATAGCTTCAGCCACAGGGGAGAAATCCTAGTATTCACTGGCGCAGCACAGTTGGCCAGGTGTTGAGGTGACAGGTCTATACGAATGACATACATGTACATGTATACATGTCTATTACAAAGTAAACTCGAGTATGTGTACATGTATGCACATGTACATGTAGTTGTTTCAAGCAATGACATTGCAGTTGGCCTATTGTTTGTAAAAATCAAACAAATCTCTGAACAAAAACCAAAATAGGGGCCCCCTACTGCACCATATTTCCAACAGTTTGTTTATAATTATATTTGGCACATACATGTACAATACAATACAACACCACACGTCTTGAACAATTCCATACACACAGAAAGAGAGATTTATAACTTAATCACCACTGGGATTAAGTGCAGTTCGTATTTAGTACAAACTGCATTTGCATAATTTTCTTACAAATCACATACCTGTATACAAATTCTGTCAAAGTGAAGCCAACCACACGTCTCCAAATATATTTCTAGATCTAGGTCATGTAGGTAACTATTTCTGTGCTTCAATGTACAAAGCAGAAGCAAAGAATATAGGGCTACCTGACACTTTAAAAACATCAAGCAGACTGATGCTCACTCACTGGCAAGAGATCACTTTTTGAAGGGTCGACAAGTACCACTATGCTACTAGTGCTTAACTCCAAGTCACCCTTTTCAGCACACTATTTAGATATCCACTTTACAGGTTGTTGTGTGTGTACTTTTCAATCCAGGGACACGACATACGTCACAAAGTCTTACTTAATAACTCACCGGCTCCACAAATACGCAATTCTACGAACTACCTCGATCAAGCAGACTGTGAAAAGACACTGGCCCCGATGTGTTTGAACAACTAAAAACCATTCCCTCTCGCGCGATAACTCTTAAACAATCGGGCAGGGCTAGATTGACAATTTAAATGCACTGGTTACTAGGCTTTGGCCCCCACCTTTACTGTGTGCCGGTGTGCGTGCATGTTGTTACAAGTAATGATGTTAAACACTGCAGTAAATTCCTCTCATTCCTAACATGGCTGAGGGTAATAAATACTACAGGTGATTCCTATGTTGTGACATGTGTGACATGCAAAGTTAAACAACGCAACTCCTTGACAGCTCATGTGATACAGGAACATTCCAGATTTAAAAGATGTGTGTACAAGTACCATACATGTACATGTACCGGTACATGGTGGCTCTTAAATATTTTTCTAATTTCTAAGGCGCATGCTTAAACCTACACATGCAGTGTATTAAAATGTAAAAATTGTTCACTTCTTTCTATAAAAGTTATTACACAATTCTACAAGCATGTTTTACCTGACAGTCCAAAACATCCTGTACTGTCATTTTCAAGAAAAGTTGTATTTTTGTAGGGAACAAAACCGGCCCTTTTTTCAAATACTGCCCCCAATTTACCATATTTAGACCACATTTTGTTTGCAACCGATTACACACCTACGGTACATGTATGAACGGGTACAAGCCAGCGAGACTGCTTCCCTGACCTGACAATTCCCTGACGTCTGTAAATTGCTCCGTTACATCTTAAGTGGGGTCAGGGAGCCAGACAAGAGGAACATGATTTGTTTTTCTTTGTTTTTTTTTCAGCATCTACGAACACAAAACTTCAAACAAGTCAGTGTAACAATATCTGCTATAAAATACTAACCCAAAAATCCATCCATTTCTGAAAATGACAGCAAAAACAAATAATGTATATTCCCTTTAAACTTGAGAAAATCGACCCCCCAAAAACTACTTTTTTTTTTAAAGAACGTTGTACATGTATTACATGTGATTGAAATTTTATCCCCCAAAGTTTGATGGGTAAAATGGTGAAGGACTACTCTGAATGAAAAAAAACTCTGTTGGCACAAGGGACTGATCCCTACAACCACTTGTCCCTGAAGCAGGTGGTCAATGACTTTTACAACTGACCAATCAAATCAAGTAATGGCCGTGGTCAGTCTGTGCACTGACCAATCCCATCAAAGACTCCACGCGGTGGCGTGGATTGTTGACCAATCAACAGATTAACTCTTTTTGTGTGTCTGGCACTCAGTCAAGGGGGGTCTTCTCAGGAAAAAAAGCTCAAGGAAATCATCCCAAATACCAACAGCTGCTGAGATGATAAGGGCGACTTAGCTGTTCTCATTTCTACCATGTTTCGATGAAAAGTTAGAAAATGTAACAATGAAATAAACAATTTGTAGATTGATTAACAGCCTTGGAGTTTTTATTGCCATGACCAGAAACATTTCATTTTAAAACCCCTAATTATTTTTGTCAAAATGCAGTTTCTGAACGAAGAAAGAATCTGAAAAAGAAAATTCAATTTTCAAAATGAACAAAGAAAAAATGGACAGAGGCAGGATTTGAATCTGTGACATTTGGAATGCCATACTGATGGCGTACAGACTTAGTTACTGTACATTTGTATCTACCCGTAGCCATTATGGGCAACTCCAATTCATGTAATGACTGTGACAAGAACTTTTAATTTTCAGAGCTCAGTGAATAAACTGAAAATGTATTATTCAAATCGTATACATTCATCATCTGGTAGTGGTCACGAAGATTACAGATCAGGAGTTTTGGATCATTTCTCTGAATCATTAATTAGATATCATGCTTTATAATTGGCCTTGTTGCAGACATTACTCTTAATTGTTTCATAAGGCTGGAATTGGCCCTATACATGTACAACTATAGCGCACAGTGTCCAGATAATAGTCAATGTCTTTGGGGATGCATGTTTCTGACAAGGGTACCGGTATTATGCTGCATATTAAAGGCAGTAAAAGACAAGAGTAGGGGTGAAATTATCAGATCATGATAATCCAGGACCTTCAAGACTGGGTCTGATTTGAAACCCAAGTGAAAAAGCTTGAAAGTAAAAGGAAAAAAAAACACCACTTTCACAAGAAAATGTATTTGCATGCACAAAGACAACAATGATGTACATGTACACAAGTCTTGTAAAATATCACCAACAATGGCAAAGCAAACTGCACGCTGAAAAATATTGACATAAAGGAAGCCTTGAGTAGGACATTCCAAATAATTAAAGGCAGACACGGGCACTTTAAGACTTCTAGCAAATACACCGACTATGATCGCAATTCTTTAATGTGGGTTCCATCCGCGGATGTACGGTGTACAACCCAATGCACTCACTTAGCCCAAGACCTGAAAGCAATATAGGTTTTCCGAGATAAGGAGATCTGGGGACAGGGGTGACTGCCCGCTGAAGCACACATGCCACGGGGACGCGTGAGTGATAACTTGATAGCTCCAAAGAGGTAGCCATGTTCATATTGTTAAAAAAAAAAGGGGGGGGGGAGAGAAAACTGCCTTGGGGTTTGGAAGGGATAGGACTACGGCTGACTCGTATTCCAGTCTGCCTCCCACTAGCCACTTCATGCATTATGGATGAACGCCGACTGACTGTGGCTTTTTTTATATTTTAGTCGGCCAGCCAACAGGGCCAATGTCCGAGAGGCCTCTGCAGCACCAAACCGTGTGATCAATCACTGTAGAGAGATTCCCATCTCGGTTTATATTCATCCATTTATACCGTATCTACATGTATGGCATTGAATTATTCGTAGTTTTTTTTTTTACTATTTGAGTGTTAACGTTGGGGTCAGGGATTTCGTATAGAAGGGAGAATGGAATAGTCGGCTCCCTTTGATCATATATTCATGGTTAATGGCAGGTGAATAATAGAATACATTCTCAGTTTCAAAACAGGTTATTTTGTTATAAATTCATAAGAACAATGTAACAGGAATCGTGGACCGAAATTTCGAATTCTTTGATGTTAAAATATATGTACACATATTGGCAAATACAAAGTCTGAGACTGAGGATATTAAAAAATACACCTACATACATGTACACGTATGTACATCACCCGGTACTTGGAGGAAAAATTTGTATCCTTTTAGAAAACTAGATATTTACAGCTCCAATTTCAGAAACTATATACAGCTCCATTTTCTTGGGCAATACATGTACTTAAACAATTTTCCATTTAAATCCAGGCACCTTAACCATCTCTTGACAAGTAGAAAAGATTTTTGTACACAAGAGGAAGGGTATCATAAAAAAAATTGTATTTAAAACAAAAACAAAAAAAAATCACAAAACATTAACTGCACCAACATTCACCAAAAGATTGACCCAAATATACATTGTACCATCAGCTAAAATCCTGGCCCATTCTTCTCTTATGTTTTACCATACGTCCACCTTAAAAAAAAAAAAATTGTCTCCCGCTAACACGCCAGGGGGAGACACCGTACATTATACCCACGATGCACCTGTACCTTTAAGCCTAACAAGCTCCTTCACATTGTCCGGGGACCAATTACAATGTTCTTTGGATCCATGTTTGGCTGGAGGGGAAGTTGGACGGCCATGGTATACCATCAAATTTGTGCATGTAATACAAAATTTTGTCGTTTTATTTTGCATGTACAATGTGAGCGTGTCTGTAGTGTGTCCCTGGGCTGTCCTGGGATGTTACTGGCAAGGTAATTACACGATACCCGTCCCCTATAAGAGTGTATCATTTCTTGGGGATTGTTCGGCGAGTATCGCCCAAGGTACAATGTGTGGCGGAGGAGGTTTGCATTGTGTGATGAGATTTTAACAAATTATTAGCGGGCTTGGCATAATCACGTAATTGCTAATGTGGTGTGAAAGGCGAGCTGTACATTCACCGATGCACAATGAAGGTGATGTACATGTACACAACATGTTGAACACCACTTTTGAGTTTAAATTTCAAACAGAAATCACAAAAGAAAGACAAAAGAATCCCAAGTCAGCAAATGCACACAACTGAACACTGAGTGACTGTGACTAATTGAACATGTGTTCATAAAATATAGAAATGCGAGACAGGTAGGGCCTACCGGTAGGCCTACATGTACCATACATGCACGTGTGGTACAGTGCACATACATGTTCTAATGAATTTGTGCACACTGAACCATGTTCATTTACTTGTACATGTATGTTCTGCCTCATTTTGCTGAAACTTTTACCATGCAAGTAATTTGGGCTATAAGATTGATCACTAACACATGACATATGCATTATCTACTACCGGTACGTGTACAACCTGATGGGTACAATGACGTAAAAAAATTAGAATTAAACAAGTCATTTACCCACCAACACAGAGCGGAGAAAGTAACTTCTGGCAAGCTGTGATGCACAAGTTCTTCAACTTTAAGGTGCGGTGCAAAATCTCTACCGAACTCACAACAAAATTTATTTTGTCCTCAAAAGATGTACATATGTACGTATAATGAATGTGATGTACACTACACAGTCCATCGGCACCGACATCAAAACCCATTGTGACCGCACAAAATCTGCAACTGTTTAAATATTCAGTTCACAATGGAACCCTTCCATTCCAACCACTGCCTCATTTCCCTCCCATTTCACAGAAAATTCTCCCCTTTGTAATTGTACATGTATTTGCAACAATAACCTTGCTACAAATGAAATTGGGAACCTTCAAGTTTTATGGCAGGAATGCTTTTTTTTTCTCCAGAGTTCATCGGACCAAAACCAGCCAGCATTGAGACTTATTGACTGCGCTCTGCCTTGCGATGAAATGGCCATTGTTCTGAACAGTGGCGAAGTACAATACTGTACATGTATGAAATTCATTATTGCGGTTGACAAATCCAATAAAAGGTTACAATGTACACCTGCAGTCAGTGAAAAAAATAGTTTCATCGTCACTAAGGTTCAGCACAAGGCAATATGAATACAAAACCAATCCCAAGTCTGGATTTTGTCTATTTCGGGAACTACACATTTTTAAGTACCTGTAAAATGTGTCACAGCTCATAACAGACTTGTGCAAGTCTAATCGACAGTCCCAAACTGTGTACAATCTCCCTGGCCCCTTTCATATAAATGACAAATGACAGTTCGGAACTGAGGTTGCAAACCTGTCATTACGTTT